GGAAACTTGTATAATTAAGAGGCAAAGGGACAAGAAATTCTGAATGCTAAAAAAGCTTTCGGGCTAGTGTAGTATTCATTGAAATCCTTTGTGACCAGCAATTTTAGTGCGATGTGCTTGCTGCATTCTATGTAGAACTCAATTCAGACTAATCTGTAACTGATTGTCAATAAACAAAACCACAGAAATTCTGCTTTTCATCAAATTTCTTTCGCTTTTGGTTGCCCATTTATTTAAATTATTTACATTATTTTATTTCTTTTGCGAAAACTTCCAATACAAACAGGTGCTGGTATTGGAACAGTGTTCGGTTCCCTCATCATCGGTTACGCTAGAAATCCATCGTTGAAACAACAGTTGTTCTCATACGCTATCTTGGGTTTCGCCTTGTCTGAAGCTATGGGTCTGTTCTGTCTTATGATGGCCTTCTTGCTGCTCTTCGCTTTCTAAAGTGTTTGACATTAAAAATTTATAAACAACAGTAACAGCAGTAACACCAGCTCCACCACTTATTGTTTTTAAAAAACATCCAAGATAAAAACACTTTTATTTAAGTTTAAAACGAAAATAAAAATACTATGATAAAAACAAAAATTTGCATAATACGTTAAACTAAAGCGAAAACTAATATCGCAAAAAGAATATAGCAGCAAGGCAATTGCAAACGAAATATCTGATAAAAAAAAATTAGTTATGCGCCGCATCGAAATTATCTACAGACCGAATAACAAGCTTGCGAAACCGTCTGCAATGCTAAATCGAGGAAGGAGCATGAAATAGATCAGTCACAATCACGTACAAACGCATGGTAAAAGATTCTCCAGCAGCTGACGAATCAAGTCTAATTTGCTGAAAAAATGCAATGAATAATATCATATTCTAAAAACGTGTGCATACATAACATTTATTATCTGACTTGTGTAAGCATACCATTTATTTTCCATGATCCATGATATGTATATATTTGTGTGTCCTGTGAGCGCTCTCGTTAAACAACAAGGAATTCAGGAAATATTCGGAACAATCATGGAATGGAGCAAAGTTCAAATGTTCTAATTTGTTACATTAAGATCAGTTTAATGTATGTGATTTGTATTGATGATAAAAGTTCATAATGCTGATAATTTGATTGTTTTACATTCATATTTTTGTGTATGCAAATCGACATATTGTTGCTGCCTACGCATTTCTTAGAGAATTAAAAGTACCAATGGAAAGAATTGAGTCCTTTAAGCATATACATATGTACTACTAAACTGCTCATTTAACTTAACTATAATCATTTATTCATAGATGCATGGAAGATTATGGCATAAAGTAGGTATTGAATAAAATCAAGATGGAGTTCATGAATGGTCAAACATAAATTTGTTATTTATTTATACTTTCTACGCGAAAATTTGGTAGACTCTGCCTACATCACGCGTTCTAGTCACGGTTGTTACATGTTTCAAATATAAGCAAACAAAATCTGAAAAAAACTACCAAATTTGTTTTTAACATATCTATTACAAAAGGCAAAACTGCTGATACAATAATTTTTATTTCTTTTTAACCGACTTCCAAAAAAGGAGGAGGTTATCAGTTCGT